TGCTGTGTTTTCTGGTGCCCCAGGAACGCGGCCACATAGTGCTCTGTGTATTCTTTCTGATTCATGTTGCACCTGTGTTTTCAAGTCCAGTTCATCCCAGATTTTATAAACATATAAAGTTGCTACTTGAAAAATATCTTACAGATTTCAGATTCACATTAAAAGACAAACAGGCTCACGGTCTTCATTCTGAAGTAATCATTACACCATGCACAGCACAGTCTAGACAAATGTTTGGGAGGTGGATATTTTTGTTTTTCTTTTTCTTTTTGGCATGCTGGGGGTGGAACCCAAGGCCTCACTCTATCAGGCAAGCATTCTGCCACTGAGCTACCCTCCTTCCATTTATTTATTTTTAATAAAATTTTATTTTTCTTTATGCTGATTTCATATTCCTTATAGTCTGATTGGTAATATTTTTCTACAAGTCTTTTTTAAGAGATCAAATTTTGACATGATGGTAGCTTATTTTAAAGACTATTTTTTTTCTCTTTTTAACAGAAAACAAGCATCATTGTGGGTCCAAGGTGACATTTTCCGATCTAAGCTGAAAAACAGACCATCCAGCGAAGGAAGTATTAATAAAATTCTTTCTAGCTTGGACGACATGTCTATTGGTGGAAATGTATCTAAAATCCAAAACATGGAAAGGTTTGGAGAGGTGAGTGTTCTTCAGGATATTCTAATGGCTTCGTGTGTCTCCCAGCTAATGCATGTGACACGGCAGTGTCTTTTGTCTAAGGTGCTGAGAGGACCAGGTTTTGAGGTGTGGTGTCACACACCTATAAAGCAAGGCGCAGAGAAGAGAAACCAGTTGTCCTTATAGGAGAAGCTGTACCTAAAGGAGCACAGTTAGATTCTGATAGGATGACTTTACAGAAAGCAAACTCTACTTCAAAGGCAAAAATATCAAGAAAAATTCTGATGTCACCATTGAAGTAGCTTCATACAAGTGGGCCATTGAGAGACTCCAGCTCACGTCGACTTCTAAAGTGTGGAGTTGAAAGCATGATTTGGGGCAATGTTTTTTGAGGTTTTACTGTAAATGTGCCACCTGAAGTAATTGCTACATGTGGTCTGATTTGGCCTTTGTAGCTACCAGGCAGTTAGGTGTCTCCTCTGCTTTACAGGAGGAACAGTGTGTCAGTGGCGGGTAACCTTGGCATTTAAACATGACTTAGTCCCTGTACGTCTGAGCCCAACTCATGTTTTCCTCTTTATTCTGCTATCTCAAAAAGAACTGTTTTTGGAACCAGAAGCACGTTTGTCACCCTTTGCTTTCTTTCTTCTCCCAGAATTGCTTCGTGTGGTGCCGCTTTGAGAGCTGGGCATTCAGTTCCTAGTTCAGAGTTTTGTATCATCTGGAACCTGAGATGAAGCTAAGCACTTGGTTTATAACTGTATGTGCCTACATCAGAAGGCATAAAAGCTGATAGAAATGACGCAATAACATAGATTTACTTGCTGTGGGGACAGTGACCCATGGCAGTGGCCTGGGCCTTGAGCAGAGTGGCGTGCCTCAACTGTCCCCCTCAAGGAACCTAGGTGGGAGGGGATGACCTAGCTCCCTAGGGCACCACTTGGTGTCCCCAGAAGATCTCTCTTAGCAGAGAAGAGAGGGCGAGCACGTGGAGGTGGGCAGAGTTAGCTTTTCTCAGGGCCGAAGGGCAGAGCTGCTGAATGAGCTGAAATCTTCCTGCGTGTGCTCCCGGCCAGCGCCCACCACGGGTGCAGTGTGCCGCTGGAGTCACTTGTCCTGATGAAATGTCAGTCTCATTCAGGGTCATGCTGGTGTTCAGAGTGCTTGTTGACTTTTTCTTGTCTCTGTGTGTGTTACAGTCTGGCCTGTTAATAGCTAACAGCAAGGATCTGAACTAATAATACTGCTAAACAAGAACATTTTTTTCTTACTCTCTTCAACATTTTTTGTCAGGTAGAGTTGAAGCCTTAGGCTTTAAGCTGTGATCTATAAGAGAACCCCTTTTTTTTTGTCCTTTTGAGGACCATACTTACAAGAATAGAATGTTTTCTATATTATAACCTGTATTATATTGATATCTGGTAGTTGGAATATTTTATCTTTATCCCTTTTTAGATTTTTTTTTAGTTTTGGTAGACTTAAAAATGATTGGCTATTAGGGGAGGGGAAACAGCCCAGAGGGACACGCACCTATTTGGTGAGTACGAGGGCCTGAGTTTGATTTCCGGTTCCAAAAAATAAAAAAGTAATTGACCCTTATTACTGGAAGAGTAAAAAACAATACGATTGAAATTTAGAATATGTCAGCTGTGACTGTGTGTGTTTAGATGTTGACCCTGTCTGCACCCACCCCGTGCTGCGTCCTATCAGCTCAGCCCAGCTGCTGTAGCAGAACACAGGCTTATGACCAGCAGAACAGCATTTCCTAGCTTTCTGTGTCTTTCTTTTGTTTTTTTTGTGGAACCGGGGATTGAACTCAGGCCCTTGCACTTGCCAGGGAAGTGCTTATTCTACTGAGCCATCTCCCCGGCCCCATTTCCTAGCGTTCTGGAGGCTGGGAAAGCCAAGGTGAAGGTGCTGACCTTCGAGGTGCTTCCCGTTGCTAGATGGTGTCTTCTCCCCGCTCCTCACCGGGGGAGTCCCATTCACCAGGGCCCAGCTTCCTGCTCCAGTCCTTCCCAAAGATCGTAAAGGCTTGGGCTTTAACGTGGGGATTCTGGGAGGCCTTTGATGGGCTCCTTACCGAGCTAACAGTATTGCTAGTGTGGTGCCCTACCTACCTTAGTGTTAGCCATTAACAGCTGCTACTGTTTCCACTCATCGGCGGTTGGTGCCTTGTGTGGGCAACTGGCAGACGCTTTCCTTGCCGCGCTGAGCTGGTGCGGCCGTGGGCACGGCACAGGGGAGGGGAGTGCACTTACTCAGAAGTATACTCAGTGGGGTGAGAGAAGGAGTTGGCCTTACTGTTCTTGTAAATTGTAAAAAAGTGAAGGATACTGTAAGGCTTTTATTGTTTCAAATTCTGTGCTTGAATTCAGGGAAGTAGCCCGTGGAAGTTCTAAATTTATATTTTAGCATAGATTAAAAAAAGCCATACTCTCTAGAGTTGGCCTCTAAACAACAACAAAAAACTGAGATCTAAATTATTACTGTTTTTTGTTTTCTAGGCTTGCCCACATTTTCTTGTGATTATTAGGAAGCTCCATAGCGCAATTTAGATAATTTGAACGTATAGTGCTTAGAAGGCGGGTGTAAGAAGGAACAAGCAGAATAGGACACACCGTGGTGCTGGACTCCCCTGTGGCTTAGTGAATTTTCCTCGCCCACCGAAAGCTAAAAGCAGCCCTAAAATATAGAGGCTTTCCCTGTTCTGAGCTGGGTCATCCATACTGGTGTAGGCACCGTGACACACGCACAGTGGTTGTCCATGCTGGTATGGTCACTGTGACACAAACACACACACGCACACACACGAGTTGTCCATGTTGGTATAGGCACTGGGACACATACGTGCACACACACGGTTGTCCATGCTGGTGTAGGCACTGGGACACACACACACACACGAGTCATCCATGCTGGTGTAGGCTCTGTGACACACACATATACATACACACACACACACATACAGGGGTTGGTGGTGCTGGTGTACCCACTGTGACAAAACACACACATGCACACACACGAGTTGTCCATGCTGGTGTAGGCACTGTAACATACACATATACACGCACATGCACACACACGAGTTGTCCATGCTGGTGTAGGCACTGTGACACACACACACACGTGCACACACACAGGTCGTCCATGCTGGTGTAGCCACTGTGATACACACGCACACACACACGAGTCATCCATGCTGGTATAGGCTCTGTGACACACGTACCACACACACACGAGTCATTCATGCTGGTGTAGGCACTGTGACATACACATATACACGCACACACATACACACGAGTCGTCCATGCTGGTGTAGACACTGGGGCACACACATATACACGCACACACATACACACGAGTCATTCATGCTGGTGTAGACACTGGGACACACACATATACACGCACACGCACACACACGAGTCGTCCATGCTGGTGTAGACACTGGGACACACTCACGGGCCATCCATGCTGGTGTACGTACTGGGGCATACACATGTACATGCTTTGTACAAAACAGCCCCAGCATTAAGTGCCCATGTGACATGAAGGGTTGAGGGGCTGTTGTAGATAGGAGTTGAAGAAAGGGCCAGAAGAGTCTGGAAGCTGAAACACTTCATTGAAAGTGCACATATTGGAGTTTAGAAGGAGCTTAGTGTGTATGAGACCACAGCCACCTCTCTTGTACCCACTGGGAGCCAGGACTAGTACTAAACTGGTAAGGACTAAGTCCCGCGATCCTTGTCATGCCTTCATGCCTGCATGCCACGGGCACTAGTGTGAAGTCTGCTGAGAGGCAACATGACTGAGGTAGAGGAGGCTGAGCCGCTATCCAGGGCCTTGTAGTATCAGGGGAGGTTTCATCCCAGGCCTGCTGGCTCTGAGTCTGTATTCAGCTGTGTTGGAGCCACTGCCTGTCTGTGAGGTCTTCGGTGTGGCTTTAGTCCATTGTATCTGGGAATTCTGGACAAAACTCCAGCCAGATCTTTCCAATAAATTCCCCCATCATTAAAATAGTTTTTACTTTTTCTTCTGCTCTATGGCTATATTCCAGCATTAGCACACCAAACTGTAGAGGCTCTTGACTTTGGAGGTATTACTTAGACACAGATGCTGGTAGTGTTCAGCCAAGTTAACTTGACAGCCAAGTAGACAAGAATATAGTGTTTTGATTACCTCTTTGAGATATTATGATTTATAAAATCCATCAAACATTTACAAGCACAGTGTGTCTTAGAAGAATCCATGAAGTAAAATTAAATTAAAAAGTAAAAAGTATTTTAATGATGGGGGAATTTATTGGAAAGATCTGGCTGGAGTTTTGTCCAGAATTCCCAGATAAAATGGACTAAAGCCACACCGAAGACCTCACGGACCTACTTTTAGGCACCTTTTCTCCTCTTAGATCTGGGAGTGCTGTGGGAGCCACCAGAGCTGCTAGACATGGCGCGACAGCACACAGATTCATGGTTCAGGAGGGGCCCCGGCTCTGCTGTGGGGTGCTGGAGTCCGCCTGGGGCTGCCTGGGGTCAGGGAGGTGGTGATGGGAAAGGCCCAGGTTTCCGAGGCCTGGGCCAGTGGCAGTAAGGAGAGAAGACAGGTAGGAAGGTGATAAATGCTCTCTGTTGCTCTGAGGTAGAGTATTATAGAGGCGTCATCTTTGTAGCTTCCCAGACTTGCCATCGTAGGTCCAATACCTGAGAGCTAAGAGGAGCCTTAGTGGTCACTGACCACCTGTCATAGCCAGGTCACCTAAGTCAGCTGCAAGTTTAGTCTGTCTCCAGACCCTTTGAATTCTGTTACTCACTTGTATTTCAAACTGTCTCATTTTCTCTGTGATCTCTTTCCTTAAGTGCTGTGTTTTATCTAGTAGATGTTTTCTTTTTGAAATTTATTTTTATTAGTATTATATGTTCCCTCCAATGAACTGATGGCAATTAGTAGTATAATTGTCTTAGTTATCTTAATATGTAGCCATATATGTACATATTCCTTCTTTTTTCTTCCCTCCATCCCAGCTCTTTCCTTTTGAGCATTTTCTCTCCTTTTCACACTTTCTGTTGTACATGTTGGACCTTATTTATTCTTTAAGTTTCTCCACGGGGGAGAAAACATGATGTTTATACACATGAGTCTGATTTATTTTGCTTATGAGTATGGTCTCGAGTTGCATCCATTTACTGATAAGAAGCCTGGAGTTTATCCTCTTTATAACTGAGTAGCACCCCATCGTAGAAAAATACCACATTTTTTTATATACAGGGTGATCCTGTACCTGGAGGAAAGACCTGAGCTTGTGGGTCTCCCCGAGGTGAGGCGGCTTTAGCTTGCTCTTCAGCAGTCTCGTGGCTTTGTTTCTCAGTCTGCTTCTTCCTGACCATCTCAGGCTGATGCCAGTCTGCCCTGCTATTCTGTAGGGATGGTGGCTGGAGCCCAAGGCTGGGTTTTCCACGTTTGTTGCTTGTGAATCAGTTCTTTAGTAATCAGGAAGATTGCAGTTGGCATAGAGCAGGAAGCCTAACAGCCCAAAGAAGAGAAGTCTTCAGACTGCCCTGGTCCAGCAGTTCATGAGATCGATTGCTTGATACACAGACATACATTTCGAATGAGCTTTGGCTACCCTGCAGACGCTTGGGACTCAGCGTATGCAGTATTTTGGGGCTGACCCTCTAATCAGTATAGGGCTTGGTTCTGTGCATATCTGTATGTTTTGTTCAGTGTGCAGGAAGCCAAAATCATTTTCCCTGTAGCTTTTCAGTTTCATTTTTTTTCTGTAATTTGAGGAAAATGTGTTTTGAATAATATTGTGTAGCTATTTTTGTTAGGAATTTGGAGGTAATTACAGTAATCACTGACAGTCTTGTGGTTTATACTCTCGGGCCTGCACATACCCCGAACTTCATACAATAGCTGCAGGAACTAACCAAGGGCCGATGGCTGGAGACAGTAGCACCCTAGCAGGCTCCTTCAGATCTGCTGCCGGGCTGTATCTCCCCTGCCCCTTAAGTCTTGGCTCCTAGGGAGCTTCCCTAACACTAATCCAGTCTTTAATCTGTCTCAGATCACTGTAGTAACTAACCCTCCCTGCGCCTGTTCTTTCCTATCTCCAATTTATTCTGCATACAATTAAAAAGTGGGAAGAAGTGTTTGAAGCATATGCAAATCTGTTTTTCTGTGTACAGAGCTCTTAAATCAACACAAGGATGCCATGTACACAAATAAAGCTCTCATTGCTCAATGTAAGAAATGTTCTACTTCCTTAGAAATGGTAGAAACACAAGTCGAAATTATGAGATACGATTTTGTTTACTAAATGTTAAAGAAATATATGCGTTATTGGCAAAGGCTGAGGGAACAAAAGGCCCTTAGGCTTTGCTGGTGGGAGTTTACAGTGGTGCAGCCGTTCTGGAGGCCAGCTTGAGAACTTGGAGAAGACAACTTTAAAATGAAGTTAGCCATTCTCCTAACACGACTTCACCTTAAGGCAAGAGAAAGGCTTTTCAACACACGTGTGGATCCAGAAGGGTGTTTGTTGAGGCTGTTGAGAGTAATAAAAGACAGAACAGTCTGACCTAGAATTCTAGGAAAATAATAAAATTTTGGCTTATCTAGACAATGGAATTTTATGGGGCCGTAAATATGATAATGTAGAGATCTTTTTTATTCCTCCTGAAGCACTTCCACGAGGTATTATTTATTTTTTTTAGCGAAAAGTTAAGTTACTAAGCAGCATGTATAATGAACCTTTTTGTGAAAAATAAGTCAGGGGACTGTGTGTAGCATGGGAAATTCTTTTTTTTTTTTTTTTTTTTTGGTGGAACCAGGGATTGAACTCAGGCCCTTGCGCTTGCCAGGGAAGCGCTTATTCCACTGAGCCATCTCCCCGGCCCCAATAGCATGGGAAATTCTTGAAGCTGCCCGAGTGCTGACGCGCTCGGCTTGCAGCGTGGCTCTGTGGGTGCCTGCATTGTGCTCCGGTGCTGCGCTTTGTTTCTTATGACGCTGTTCGATGGTCAACACTCACACCCCGACACCTCCTCTACTCTTTAGAGAAAAGGCTTAGTTTTCTTCTCTAGAGATTGAGAGCTTGAACTGTATTGTGTTGTGGTGTGTTCTTTGAGAGCCAGGTGCGTCAGTTAGCAGTAGAAGAAAGTAAAAATTTACTGAATTATTGGGTAATTAGGTGTGTGGTAGTGTGTTGCAGTATTGTATTTTTT